TTCAATCAAGTATAGAATTTTTATGTTTGAAATTAAATGCTTTAATGTCTATATTTGATTTTCTCTTTCCTTCCTTTCCTTTCCTCTCCTTTTCACCCAAATCTGTTCCTCAGCTTTGGGATTTGTGTTGTAATTATCGAGTTGTAATTGGTTTTGAAGATTGTGTTGCTTGGTGTTAAGTGAGAGTAGACGAAATGTGTAATCTGTAGTTTGTACAGTACCATTGTAAATAGTCATTGAGGCGCTAAGCAAGGTCAGAAGAAGTTGTTCGAGAGGGAATTACTAAAGCCTACGGTCTTGGAGTGCCTAAGTTTCGCTCGAGCATCCTTAAGGCGCCCGTAATGCGCCTGATTCACTTGAGCGATATTCTGGACGAGAAAATGCTATCTTCCATCATTTTAGGAAAAAAATTGTATGGATGCAAATAGTGCGGCAATTGTAGGCTACAATTGTAGTAGTGTATTGATTTATTTTCATTGATGATATGTTATTTAAAAAAAAAATTGCAGTTGTAACTATCACCTTTCAGCATTTAAGTTTATATTTAGGAAATGAGTTTTATTATATGTACATCGAGGTTGATATTTCGGTATACAGATCCCCTCATAAGAGGGGGCCATAACCAATAAAAAAATTGTGGGCCTCACTCTTGTGAGGGGATCTGTATACCGGGATATACACTTAGCAAAGACCTTAAGAAATTTAGGAAAATTTAATAAATCTAATTACAAAGAGAATGTCAAATTGACAAGAAAATATGTATTACAATAATAATGCATTTAAGTATTAAAATTTAGGGCTTGTTTAATTTGTATATCAGTTTTTGATTTTGAGTTCATTTTTAATGTTCTGTTTTGAGAGTCTGTTGTGAACTTGTTAAAAACGCATCTAGCTTGATTTTGAAATTGTTAAAAACACGTTTAGTTTGTTACTTTGAAAAATTATTCTATGACATTTTTGTTCCATAAAAATTGACCATTAAGTAAAAAGAGAATAATTTTATGTTAATATATTATCAAGTAATATATACATTTTAAAGTTGGTAAATTTTAAAATATTTTTTTATGGTTATAAAAGTAAAATAAAAATAAATAATAAATTGTGTTCAAAATATAAAAAAAATAAAAATTAATAATGTGGATTTAGAATATTTTATCCGTATTCATTTAGATATATATTTTTAGAATTTTTATATAAATCTTGAACTATTTTTATTTTTCTTGAATTTTTTATAATTTTATTTTTAAATATTTTTTATTATTTTTTTTATTTTTAGATTTTTTTTTTCAATTTTTATTTTTTCAAAATTTTATTTTTCAGAATTTCATATTTTTTATTTTTAAAGTTTTTTAATTTTTAAAATAAATGTTTATTTACACGCTCGTTTTCCATGTTTTGAATGTTTTCAAAATATTCACCGAAGACACTCAAAACGTTAAAAATAAGTTTTGAGTTTTATATATTAAATTTTACATCGTTTTCGAAAACACATTTCTTGAAATATTGATCAAACATCTTTTCAACATTTTGCAAAAGTGAAAACTTAAAGACAGTTTGAAAACAGCAAACCAAACGCACCATTATTACTTCAATAGACGTTTCAATCAGTTTGAACAATATTGCACTATAGTTGGATCTTCATTTGATATAATGGGAAGATTTATAATTTTTTTTTTAATTGTCAAGTCTTTTTACTTATACATATATACAAGTCTATCTTACACGTCTATTTAAGCTCTTAAATTTACTTAATATTTGATGGTGACAATGTTTAGCTCACCAATTATATTGTGGTGTGTATGAGGGGACTTGAAATGTCTTAGACTAGATTATTCAAGTTGAGAACGAAGAGCAGGTGTAGGCGCAGTCTGATTTAGAGATGTCCATAAGTCGATT